GATCCTGATCTTGTCATTTTTTGAATGTAAGTACTATCTAAAGACCCTAATCTAAACATCCTGCTAATCGTACATCACACTTCACTTGGGACACTTCTCTAACTCACTGTAAACTCGAATTGTTAAACTCACTCTCAACCACCTCTGACTTTGGTCAAAACGTTTGTTCTCTCTGACCATCAAGATACTCTTGTTCATCACAAAGTGAAACGTCTTTATTTTTTGAATCTAATAGTTCTCGATGTCTAACAGAAATCAAATGTTTTCGACGATGACATCCGTTGCTATGCATTGATTTACCCTAAAATGGATGGTTGTATTATTTTCTCAACTAGTTTCAGATGCAATTTACCCACTGGTTTGACATAACTTATTTATTAAACTAAGCTGGTATACGCTGCTTTCAAGTATAACTTACGGTTGGTCATGTGAGGGTGTAGTGGCATTGGACCATAACCACACAATCCTCAAAGCTGAACACGAGACTACTCGGAAAATAGATGTTCAATATTTAACGCGAAGAAATACCTGACGAGGAGTTGAATTACTCGGAGTTGATCGAATGGCATGGCTCGGCCTTGCAGGCGTGGTCGCTGTTGAATGTTATCTTATATCTTTTATTCATAATAAATATATTGTTATATCTCTGGCCTAAGCTTGTTCTACATTATGTATTGGTGATTGTTATGATACGATGACTTGGTGTAGAAGATGGTATGACTTCTACGTAGGATCTTATAGATAAGGCAGTTATATCATGAAAAGTCTACAATTTTAGGACTAGGTCTATTATTATCGCAGTACTAATATCATAGTAGACCATAATTCTACAACATTTCTTCAAGTAAGAAATGAAAAATCATCCGCGAACATATTAAAGCGGACGTAATAGACATCAATAGACAGTTCATTTAGAAGGTCGCTTTTCTTTGTTAACCTTTTAGTCACATCCTGAAATTGCAGCACGAAAAAAGTCAAAATAATGCATCCGACGGTTGAAAGCAACAAAGTTTCCCTAACTTTAATATTTTAATAAAAACGAGTGGTTCGGATCGGCACATGTACGTGTCATGGAACAGTCTTTTAACTTTGTTCATTTCCAATCGACCGTGCAAACAAATCAGCTAGAAGCTTCTTCGACATTTTCGGAATAAACACATTATCATGACAACGTCTATGCTAAAACGTGCCATGCATCTACACTTATTCGAATCGCATATGTGTATTCATAACACCTGCATTAACTGTTGTGTTACAGTCAGCACTTTTTTCGCGCTACACGTTTTCAACACTTCCATCCTTCACTGCTTCAACAAGTTTTATTTTCTGCAGGTCGACTGTATACTACGATAGAGAAAACTAACAGTGTAGTGCTACGAAATCTGCACAGCTTTTTATCAAGTGAAATAATATGAAATAGGCGACTATGTTTCATAATATCATATCAACTAATAAAAGGATGATAATAAAGTCTGACATACGAAATCTAAGAGTTTTCACAGATAAAACAATGTAAACAACGAAATCGATACTTCGGTAGATACCCAACACTAATTCTGACCTCCTTAGACTCTAAGATAGAAAACTAAAGGTCTTCAGCTTGAACATAGTCAGGTTGAGAAACTCAAGAATCTGATGATATTTAAGCACACAAATGTAACTGTGAAATACATGAACTATCGAAACAGTTCACGGCCTTTAATAGAGTTCATCAATTTCGTACTGTCAAAATGTGTAGTCTGGGGAAATTCATGATTGGGAACACCAGTTACCTACTTATCAGTAAACATTCAGTCCCGCTAAACGTCGAACAATATTCTGTTCGTAAGCAGTAAGGATGGACCACACACTTCAATGAAGAGAGCCAGCAACATCAGTTTTCTCACTTCCAATCCCTGCTGCATGCTACTTATATTTATCTTCATAAGTAGCGCATACCACAGTTTATTACGTGTCTACAGTAAACTGTAAGACTAAGCCTAACTCTCCTTCGAAAGCGTTCCAGCCTTAACGTGTCATATCATGCAATGCAACTCTGATCCCACTCCATTTCGAAAGTTATTTTTGTGAAATACCTTTGTTTTCCTTCCGTTTTAAATGTATCGCTTATGTGAAGACTACTGAGCATAAAGGGACAGCAATTAATCACTTGGCGGACACAGACTTTGTATCATATTTATTAAGAACATGAGGGGATCAAAACAACCCTTTGTATAACCAAACTAGCTACCCTGTTAGGTGCTAGTGTATTTCGACTGATTTTAGCGATTTTGTACTGATCATCCGAGAATGATGTAACCGAGCTAAGTAGTGGGTCGCAGATTCCAACAGAATATAGTTTATCACATGATGTGCTGTTAGGTACCTTGTCAACTGGTCAGCGTTTTTTAGCAAGTTGTTTTTTTACGGGATGGGGTCACTAACCCCATGCCCAACCCTCCTCCTTTATCCGGACTTGGGACCGGCAGTAGCCCTAGGAGACTCCAGGTGGAGTTTCACTTGTCAACTGCCAAACACATATCAAAATAGAAGACTATAGCCATTTTTCGAAACTCGCGGCATTGTGTTATATGGTCAAACAACTCAAAGTGATATTCACCACGACCTACCTGTCAAGATAAGATTTCACACTGGTTAGTAGTCTGAAGTACTGCCTTTTACAACCTTCTCCGTGATTTATTAAATAACTAGGGTGATATTTATGGATCTGCAACTAGCAGCATTCGCTGTGTCCCCAGTCTCATATTGTATGATAATGTAGCTATTTTTCCAGTTACTTGAGTATACACTTGTGTCTAATGTCATAGCGAATATCCTAGGGAGTATGAATTGAATAGTATCGTCATATATTTCAGGGAATATAGAGAGGATGTCGTAAGTTCCTATACGTATTGTAGTCTTGAGACTTTTTATTTCTTCAGATATATTCTTAGCACAAAAACATACATTTACTCGGTAATTGGGTGTAAGTGGTAAGTGGTTGAGGTTAGCCGGTTGCTCTGCATTGACGTTTGCGAATGAATCACTAAATATGCTACATATATCGTTGGATTATTGTAGGTTTGTGAAAGCTTGCTAATATTATCGACATTCCGGATGCTTTATGTTCTCACTCTTACAGTGAGCACAGCATCCCAGAAGTAGCAGTGAACTTTGAGAGCCAAACTCGGAGTACAGATAGAAAAGCACTGAAGGTTAACGAGTTGTAGATAAGGTCTAACAACGAAGAGTTTGTGGTTTATTTCTGGATAGGGCTAACCAGAGATATCTCCCCTAAGCAAGCACAAATAAACTTGGTGACTAGAATATCCGTGCTCGAGCAAAAGGATTGAGGTAAGATGGTATGGATGAAGACTTTAAAATTTACTAGTCTTAATAAAGTTGGGTCCTAGAAATTTATGATCTTTTGATCTGCTCTGATGCTATAGGCGGTTTATCAGAAACTCACTGAGGATAATATACGTTTACAGCATCAGAAACCAACTTTCCAATCATTAGTTGTTGGTCGAATAATAAAGATCAGAAAAAAACGCTTTTGACCAAACTCCAAACGATAGCTGTGAGTTTTATTTCACGTCTTATAGGAACCTCATCTTCTTACATAATTGTACCTATGTTGCTGATATGTAAACCTTATCGTCCTTAGAAGACAGCGATCACACTATACTGCACTTGAGGTTCCCGAAATATTTCTGGAAACAACTGTTTCATCCAGCTGGGTGGAATGAAGTGTACATAACTTGGCGCTTACGAGTCTTATACCAGCAGAGTACGATCCATTTCATCATCATGCATTCAGATCTACATTGGTTTCTGTATTCTTCTTTTTGGAGTTAAAAATGAACCGAGAAGTTGCTAAATCGCAGAAAGTTATTCCGTAAATCGATCCTTGCAGTCGATCGTAAAACATTCAAATCCAAGTGCTGGGAATTCATGAATGGATGTAAAATTATCATAAAATCTCATTTGGTAAAGAGAAGGCACCATATAGCGATCGAACCTCTCCTAAAGAACAGTCATCTAGTGTCAGGAGAAGTATTAGACGACGTAGCTGGGTAATAAAAATTGTTAAAGTTCCCAAGGCTGTTCGCACAAAACATACTGACTTTGACCCATTTGATGTTCTAGCCGATTTGGTTGTAAGACGGCCTGAGAATTAATGATGAGAGTATAATTTCAATACAGTTCAGTAGTGGATGTGGATCCCGTTAAGATTTGACCACTATAAGTTTAGAAACAAAAAGAATAACAGATATACTGTAAGATATGAACCGAAAATGAGGGCGAATTATGAAGTGATAGCTGATAAGGAAATTACTTGTAATGAACTAAGTCAATAGATCTCTCGTAAGGGACATTGTTTGCAACTTTTTAATTTGCCTATATAAGACGTGGTTGAGAAAATTTAAACGAAGCACCAGGTCCATGTACCATTGAAGATGATGAGAACGTCCAAGCTGTAGGACAACCTAACACCACATTTATACAGTCATAGAAACCTTCAAATCGGTTTTCTTCATCCCAAGACAAAATTTTATCACTCCAAGCAGCTCTTATTTTGAACAATGAGATGAGTGTCAACATGACCTGTCTTTTTATTCACTCTGGAGTTAATGATATTCGGGTTCATGGCGAAAAGTATCAGATTATGCCTCCGCTTTTTCCTTATGGTTGACTACCAGAGAGCTCTTCTAGATGAATCTGAACTAGTTAGTATGAGTAAAAGTCATTTAAGGAAAACTGGGTCCTTACGGAAATACTTGCGGAGAGAATACACATGAATTAAAATAGTCGAAATTATTACTGCCGAGGCTACATAAGTAGTAGTGCATATAAACAAAACACTACCAATAGAATCAAAACAAGTTATATAGATCAATAAACAATCGACCAATGTGATAAGTGAGAATCAGGGACGTTTTTATCCAATAACATTTTGAGGTTGTGATATTGAGCTGTTGTTTGAGTTATCGAGCACGGAGCTCACATTTTCAAACACGATGTCGCGTGACGGGAAGTAGGTGTTATTTGTTTCTTTATCATGTACTTAGACCGGCAGTTAGGCTTATGCGACCCGGTGTTGTTGTCTTAGTTTTGGCAGGACGTTACGCAGGCAGGAAAGCAATCGTTATTAAAAGCTATGATGAGGGTTCAGGAGAGAAACCTTATGGGCACGCTTTGGTTGTCGGGATTGACAGATATCCGCGACGCATCCTCAGAAGAATGGGGAAGAAACGGATGGAAAGCCGTTGTAAAATCAAGCCTTTCGTGAAAGTCGTGAATTACAACCATTTGATGCCTACAAGGCATTCAGTGAATATTGTTTTTGACACCAAGATTATCAATAAGAATTCATTGGGGGACAAGTCATTACGAAAGAAGGCTAAATTAGAGGCCAAGCTTAAACTACAGCAAAGGTAGTTCATTTTTCGTTTCGCTCATTCTCCATAGGTACAAATCAAATGAAAATCCTTGGTTTTTCCACAAACTACGTTTCTAATGAAAGGATTATTATGAAAATAATAAAAATGGGGTAATCACACAGTTGTTTTGGTACACTGACTTCTAACTTGGGCTGTTTATTGGGCAGTTTCATCAATGCACGATTTTAGCATTACACGGATTTTGCCACGATTCTGATGGATGCGGTGTGACTTGATTTACATGTAATATTCGCTAATTGTACCCGAACCAAATAATCTTTAGTCTAAGCAATATGTCGATGAGACTTTGATTTTAGTCATCATTAGTACATTACACTTCGTGTTAGTTGATCTCGACAATACATGGTTTCGGTCAGTGTGTGGTAGGTGCTGTTAGTTTTGATATTGTTGAGGTTAATATTCCCTACATAAAGGGAACTGTCATTCTATGTGACTACTTAGTGAAACTGTTCTCACCGTTCTACCGCTTAGAAATGTAAATAATTATAAACAGTGGTTGTTTGTCGCCGTTTATGACCGACGTCCGGAAAGTTATGACATTCATCTTCCTAGTTTATAACTTCAGCCTTAGATTCCTGGCTTAAAACGTATAAACTTCTGATTCCACATTTATCCCTAAACATTTCCTGCTTTGTGGATTAGATCTATAGGTTGAAGTCTATGTGGCCCCTTAGGAAAACCACCTGCTTCGGTCTGGGCACACGGGCAGTTTCACAGCTCACACAAATCTAGTGACTTGTGTGTAGCATATGTATTCGGCATTCCTTTGTACCAGTATTTGTGTTTAGGCAAATAATGTTCTGGATAAACAATCGAATGTTACCAGTCCCGTCAGGAAGTATCACGTATAATTTTTTCTCAATACAAACATAGTGCTCCATTTCCAATCTTTGTTCAAAAAACTTTTTTGATTATCCCATTGGTTAACGGACATTGTCGCGTCTAAGACGTCCGGTCATATATTACACAGTTGTAGTTGAATTCATCTGAAATTTCGACCTGGTGTGTCAATATAGACGCATTTAAGTACTTGTTGTCATAATCTTAAACTTTTCCGGCCGTTAGCGTTCGTAGTGTAATGTAAGGCGCTGCAACAAAATTTACGTGCGTTCCAACTAGCTTGTATATTTCACTTAGTATCTAATGAAGGCCACTTCCTCCGAGTTCAGTATGTTGGTATAATACTTCTTGTTTTTACCTAGCCGTTATGGACCTCTAACTGTTTCCGACGTTAAATAGATCTATAATTACTAACTGAATTTACTGTCACCTAATCAGATTTGCTAAGTTTCTTCCACATGTAGGCGAGAATGCCATGGGAGATACTCTAAATGAGGTTTGTAAATTATTCCTTCAGTTCAGACTGTATAGTGTTCTTTGGATATCAGGGTACTTAGTTGTATCATACATCGTCTAACCAATTAAAGACTTGCTGGTTATGTGCTGTTATATTCTCGATTATCGTTAAAAATAAATAACCTACAATTAAACACCAGAGGTACAATTTCAGCTTGCTCAAAGTATAGTTGATTCGACTTTGTGTGGATATATATCATTTAGACATGGATTTTCGTATACATTAATTAGCATATTTTATTTATACTTCGTCAGTCAGTCAGTTACAACGTACGACTGGGCACATATATGCATCGGTCCAAGTTGCCATACCGCGTTAGCACAGCAAGATGAACATCGCATACTTTGTCGTATAACTAGCGAAGATATTTTTCAGAACGTTCTTGAGTACAAATAGCATGTATCCCGCAGTCTGATACTTGAAGATGTTCAGTTTTTCATTCGACCGAACTATGAATTTTATTGTGCAGATTTCTGTTTTGATTTGTAGTTTAAGTTTTGCTTACAAAACGAACGCATGAATACGGTCTATGAACGCTTTCCAAAATTATTTATTCTACATTCGCAACGTGGAACGTTATTTGTCTGGGTTGTTATTATAGCATAATTCTTCGGTCATGTACTCTACTATTGAACTAACTCCCAGCACTTCTAGGTCGATATCACGAGTTTGTTGAGTGAATTTCTTATGTGTTGGCTACGAAGTTTTGTTTTTTGCAATTTTAGCAGGTGAATAAATTGTTCATCATAGAATCGTACATTATTTGAAAGAAAACGTTCTAGTAGTGACAGCTAAGTTGTTTTACGTGACATTTATAAATAACTGGAACGTTACCTCAATAGTATTGCAGACTTTAATAACGCCTGTCCTAAATAAAAATATACCACAGGAACATACGGTTATATAGATAAATTTACGTACAGTTAAAGGTTATGTATCCCCTCATATTAATAAGATCTGCAAGTTTACTTTTCAATCCCACTGGCTTTCAGTCTGTTAGCAGTACTGAATGTAAGTCGAATACGTCACGTTAACTAGACCAGTCGCAAACTCATTATGGAACATTGAGAAAAATGTTGGAGCAAACATGAGAATGTCCTGAATATCTGATTATTTAAATTGTCAACCTGGTGGCAGTTGAGCTACAGTGATTGGTTGTGTGCGAAGTAGAAGCTTTCGCTTGACTAGTTTTCGTGTCTGACAATTGAATCACCGATTCCTCCAGGTACCTAGAAAGAAGTACCAGTAAATTATTATGAAATAGTCCCAAGTTCATGAATATATATCATGTTTCCTCTTGTAGGACAACGGGGATTTTCCTGGAACTGCCTAAGTCAGTAGCGAATTTCAGGAAGTGACCGCTCGCATTGCGTGGAAATTATACCTACATCCCAGCTCACTTGTTATTCGTCCTAAGGTTTGTGTTGCGACTGAACCTAATTAGTTACTTATGAGGATGTTTTGGGTGCTGTATGTCGCTTATATTTTGATGACTGAAAACAGCGATCTACGGCATACTACGCAAGACTGGAATTCGAGTCTGTGGACTGATTTCATTCCACACGTTTATATAAGCTCTTGAGTATTTCATCTATATTACAATACTCTAAATGTGGGCGAGTAAAACATAGGAATCAAGTGGTTTTACTGTCCAACTAGAAAAGAATTCGCCTTAGTTACTAGTGTAAGGTTCTCCCTCAGTGCTTTCTTACACTATATATCTTTTTCTGCTTAGTATGAATAATGTACTCCGTTATTCTTTGGCTCAGATAGTGGGTCTCCAGTTGTCGTAAAACGCTTAGTTTTTACTATTGTTAAACGTGAATATTTGCAAATTATGGTATCCTATCCAAGCTACAAGGAGTTTGATGAGACAAGATGTTTATATGGGACTTTCGTACTTTTCAGAATAATCTGTTAGCGACTCTAGAAGTACTGATCCTAATTAAATTCGCCAGAAACAGCTTTATGGTGAAGGGAGGTGCACAGTTTGAGATGTTTATATTCTAGTCCAGGCAACGTAGTGAGTTTTTACTAAACAATGCAAGAAGCACAACGGAGTATCTTTGTTTTGTAGTTTCTAATATTTCACTGACCTTACATATATGTCGACATTTGGCCTACCCAGTGCTAAGCTTTTGTTGATCCCTCCTCAACCTTCTGATCTTATCAAAATTCGTAGTTTTTCCTAAAGTTTTGAGAAATAGGGGTACCCAACAGTTTTGGCGATTTCCCCGAAATTCAAAGTTACTTGGAGGAATTTCCGCAGACTTGGGTAAGTTTTAAGGTTTTGTGCAATTTCCCTTAAACTTTTAATTGTGACTTCCCCGAAGTATGGAAATTGGGCCTCGCAACCTGTACCGGCTATTTGTTTTATTGATATCTGAAAAGTAGTTTATGTTACGTGATACATATGTGCGCACATTCCATTCTCCTAACTTTAAAGAGAAGTGCGACCTAAGACCCCGGAATTTCCCCTAGTGTCAGGTATTTTTCACCAAAATGTCGACTTATTTTGAAAAAATCTCAATGACTTGAAGAAAAAGACCAACATATTCGTTGGAAAGCGACGACAATTTTTGAGATCGCATCACTGCCTAAATACGGGGGATGTCGGTTGCGTTTTACTAATGCTTGTGAAACGTTTGTTAGGCGATCAACGCTACTGCATGGAAAGCCTGTTTTCTGTAGTTTTATGCTTGTGGTTGGTTTCCTACAAAAAATGGAAGGCTCGCGGTAACAAGCGACAGGGGTCCGGTCGGTCTGGAAGTGGCGCCTATTATCCACTGGTCGGGCTTGAAGCGCCTTACCAGATGTAATTCTTAGTCTTCGGTAAGTTTGCGTCTGCTTGAAGGTCATTTGTGTTCTGTGAAAGTGTGCTAAGGGTCTGAACAGGAGAGAAATCTGAGCAAGAACACCGAAGGCTCATGTAATAAATTGACATTTGAGGAAAAAAATAGACATTAGCTAGATTGCTTTATCGCTGCATATCACAAAACCTTCCTGAATGCATTAGCTGTCTGCCTTTCTTACGTTTTGGCTGCATCCCTTCCGTCAGCCTCGAAGATTGTTGGATTTCTTATTAGCTAAAATGTCTTCCTGAATTTCATGATGTCTATGTACATGTATATTAGCAACTGACATGTAATTTTGTGGGACAGCGGTTGCCCACACATGAGTCACCTGTTTTTTAGATTGTGAAGGCACCAACATGCAAGTTCGTTCGTACGTTATTTGTAGTTTGTTTGCTAGTGATGTCTCTGAAACTAATGACACCTGAATGAGTTCGTCTTTAAAGGTGTAGACCTAACCTATCGACAAAAACTTGTCCAGGTGTCGCGATACGGCTTGATGATACAAATGTTATTGTACATGAGAAAGGTCACTGGTCAACAAACTTTTGACGATGGTTTCTTAGAAGGATTGCCATATCTAATCTTACCCAACAGCTGAAAGTGGCTCTCGTTCAATTCCAACACGTCATCGTAGATGAACTAGTTGCATTTGCTGCACAGATTCTGGGGATAACTTTCCCAAATTAGAACTGTTCGAATTAAACACGGAGTTGTGTTTTGAAACAATTTAATACGAGTAGCTCAAAACGCTTTGTGTGCTATGAAGAAGAACGTAGTCCGACTCAATCGGATAGATTTTGGTTTGTTAGTTCTGTGTCCAACCTGGATCTTGGCATTTCGGTCT